TGGGTGTTCACCTTCACTGAGTGGGGCCATTCGAGTCAACCCGTGGAATGTTGAAGCAACTGCTGAGGCAATGAATGAGGCTATATCTATGGCTGAACCAGAGAAGCAGCTACGGNCCTAACTCCGTATGAGTACATTGCTTGTCGACAAGGAATGTCTGGCTCAGAAGCAGATTCAGATGTAGATGAACCTAAGAAGAGCATGTTAGTTGTATCTGAATTCATTGGGTGTTCACCTTCACTGAGTGGGGCCATTCGAGTCAACCCGTGGAATGTTGAAGCAACTGCTGAGGCAATGAATGAGGCTATATCTATGGCTGAACCAGAGAAGCAGCTACGGCATGAAAAGCATTATCGTTACGTTAGCACCCACGATGTTGCTTATTGGGCAAGAAGCTTCTTGCAAGATATGGAGAGGACTTGTATGGATCACTTTAGAAAAAGATGCTACGGCATTGGTTTGGGCTTTGGGTTCAGAGTTGTGGCCCTTGACCCTAACTTTAGAAAGCTTTCGATTGATGATATTGAGTCAGCTTATATTAAGTCTAAGAGCAGGGCCATATTCCTTGACTATGACGGAACTATGATGCCTCAGAATTCTCTCATTAAGTCTCCAAGTCCTGAAGTTATCTCAATCCTGAATAAAATTTGTGGTGATCCGAACAATACCGTCTTTATCGTTAGTGGAAGGGGAAGGGACAGCCTGAGCAAATGGTTTTCTCCTTGTAGGAAGCTCGGTCTTGCAGCAGAACATGGCTATTTTGTGAGGTGTGTTTTTGTTCTCTTTTCCTTTTACAATAAATGTTCTGTTGTGCGGAGCATTTAATGAATATTTCTATCTTAAAAGCTATATCTTTCCATCCCACATTTAAAGCTATCTCAGGGATTATTATGACCAATCTCCCTTCTCCCAAGAGTGACAGAATACTCCTGTATCTTCTGATCTTTCGACGCTTATTTGAGAACAGTGCAAATCCATTCCTTAATCTTTTTTGCTCAAAGTAAATGTATCTTCATATTATGACTTCCCTCCACCTAGTCACGCCATGTGTCTTTGTTGGATGTCCACCTAGTAATGTCAAAAGATTTGAAGCTTGCATTGAAATAAATTCTGTTTTCCTCCATGAAAAGCTATCGCAGCTACCCGCTTGAGTAGATGGGAAAAGAAAGGATGACTAAGAAGTGATCACAGTGGGTGAAAACTGAGGTAAGGAAGAGGATATAGTGATTCTGGTGGAAAGTGATGCCAGAATAGGTTGTTCCACAGTCCTAGGAAGTAGGAAAGAGAACTATTCCGGGAAGAGTGCCCAGGAGCATTTTTTGGGGTAAATAATATTCTTGAGCATGGACATGATATTATTCCACTCCTTTATCATTGCTTTTACGCTATCCTTAGGACACTCCCATTCATCATTATAGCATTGATCTAATTCTTACTATTCGTATACTTAATTTTTTTGATAATGAACATTTATTTTTAAATTAAAAATATATAACTGTATGGGGTTGAGGGTGCTCACTTGCTGAGCTCCTTGCCTTCCACAGTTGAGATGCAGGGTTCAAACCCTATCAGTAGTGTTCCCCTTTCCCTCTCCCCCTCCACCTCCCTTGATGTAATAAAAATTTTGAAAAACAAAAAAAAAAGCATATATAACTGTGTAATCACTACTTGGGAAACCAAGCACGACACAGGGAATTGCCTAGTAATTACGTTACGACAAACAAACATGCCTTTGTAATTACTAAGCTTTGTAGTTACTAGATCGGTTAATTACAAGGGACAGCCTCATATCATAAGGATCTACTGGAAATTTGTGAGGGATGTAGCATAGAATGATACTTCGTCTCTAGAACATCCTAAAGGGAAATTTTTTACATAAACTGGGAAGGGAGAACATTTTAGAACTCCAACAAACTTCAGTTTATTCCGTAATATTTTCTTGATAAGATAAGATAAATTTCATTAAAAGAGTACCAAGGAGGTACCACCAAGATACAAAATTAGACCAGAGCTGTTACAGTTGCATCACCAAAACATCCAGAAAATCAAGATACTGAAATAAGTTCGCTTTCATATTTCTCCTGCACCAAAAGCATAAATTCACAAAAGAAATATGATTCTTTTGGTCTTCAAAGCATCTCTTATTCCTTTCCAACCAATATATTAAACTGAGGAAGCTAACTATATGGTTTAAATTATAAACACTGCTCATTTGACACCAAAACGCCTAAAGCTGAAATGCATCTGTACATAAGGCTACATTTGTCTTCCTCTTTTGCATGGGAGGCTAGCAGGTCTTAGTTTCTATCATAGTATAATCTGTTAGCTTTGTCCCTCCAGTTGATAGGCTGTGATGCTGTACGCAGATTTGGGGCTTCATATCCGAATTGTGCTGAGATTTCATTTTTTTTGTATGATGTACATATTACAATTGGTAAATAAAAAAATTTTAATTACCAAAAAATATATATATGAGCTATTGAATCCCCTTGACATGAAGAAAAATTCAAATATAGTGGTAAAGGGGTTTCAAAATTGCTTTAGGTCATATGTTTAAATTCCAACTGTGACATCCTAGAATTTGTTTGAACCCCTTTTTATAAATTTATGGTTCCGACACTGGGTAAGGTAGACTCAATGTCAGCTAAGGAGTTATTCTACAGCGGGATAAGGAAAGGAATTAACAAGGAGAAGCAACAGAAAGGAAAAAAGTGTTGGCCGGCATTTTGGTGGAAATTTTGGAGAGAAAAGGATTCTCATAGTTTCTTGGAGCATCTTAACTCCTCTACAATGAATCTCCTGAATCACTTGTCTTACTAGGATATCCCCAGTTCTAGTTCTATGCTGAAACCTCAGATTCCTTCCCCTTGACACTACCTAGTTCCGCCACTGACCTTACCTGGGAAATGTTCAGAAATAGCTGCCAAAGCTGTGATGCCCTTTGACGCTGTAAAAGCAGGTGGTGATGTCCTCTTCACACTTATAACATCTGTTACAAAAAATCAATCCCCTCTTTTGCAGATTGCCTTGACTCAGAGCAGCCTCATGAGCCAAAATTCAATTGATCTGCTACTTTATGCGGAGCTTTGCTTCTCCATATCCTCTAGCGCCATTATTGTTCCAGTCGTAGTGGCAGTGAGGGATTTATAACACGAATAAGCGGAGAAAATATCATTCTGTGGGAGGGTCCAAATTAGTCTATCAGGTTCAGGTCCGACGTCCAGTGTCTGCATAACTTCCCCGTCCCTGTAATTGTTGAGTGACGCTTTAGACCTCTTAACCATTTCAATGCTTTCTCAGTTTAATCTACTAACACTGTCGTATTCTGCATTGAGCTATTGATGCCTCTGAAATCTGTGCTATGCTTAAAATGTCAAGAAACAGTTCTGATAGGGGAATGGACTAGTCACGGATCTTGTCAAGATAGGATTCAGGTTCTACTGATATGTAGTTGATGAAATGAGTATTTCTGTTTTTCATGTTTCTTTCTAAAATATACTCCATCCCAATTTATGTGGCAATGTTTGACTGGACACGAAGTTTAAGAAAAAAATAAGGACTTTTGAAACTTGTGTTCTAAAATAGGGTAGACTTTTGTGTGACTAAGTTTAATTGTTTCTAAATTAGGAAGCATGATACTCTTTCTAGGACAGACTAAAAAGGAAAGTATGCTACATAAATTGGGACCGAGGAAGTAACTTATTTTTCCAGAATTAATGGTCGAAGACTATATTACGGGACCATCAATGTCTTGTAGACGTGGAAGTACATATTATTAAGAAATTTGTACTTTCAGGGTCTTAGAAATTAGGAATTAGGTTGGGTTCAACCGTCAAAATATAGTTGGCAAAAGGTTCAATTCTCTTCAGCTTAACCATGTAGATTTCCCCCTTCTATTCTTGTTGTCTTGTGATTTGCATTTGATAAAGCATTTGAAATGTTGTTATTGGAAAAAATAGTTGAAATTAATATTTTTATTTCTTTTGTTAAAGAAAGCATTTGAAATTATTGTTGAAATACCTCGCTCTCCTTTTTGTAGTTTGGTAGCGGACCACATGAATTCGCCCGAGCTCCTCATTTGTTTCGTTGAGCTCAAGCTTGTCTTATTTGACTTTGCTGATTTTTTATCTTGTGATGTGACAGATGGTCACAAGATCAGGAATGGCAAACATGCAGTCAGAACTCTGATTTTGGTTGGATGCATCTTGCCGAACCAGTATTGCAATCCTATACAGATTCTACAGATGGATCTTGCATTGAAAAAAAGGAAAGTGCTATAGTGTGGCAGTATCGTGATGCAGATACCGGCTTTGGGTTTTCTCAGGCAAAGGAGATGCTTGATCATCTAGAGAGTGTTTTAGCAAATGAACCTGTTGCTGTCAAAAGTGGGCAGTTCATTGTGGAAGTCAAACCTCAGGTACATATACTTTTCCCAACTACCAAATTGGTTGTTTCTTTCTAACTATTGATGATGTTTGATTTGTCCATCTTTGGTAGATTGCAGTCTCTTAAATGTTGTTCCTAACACATGGTCTGAGTATCTTTACTTTTCTCTTTTTCCATTCTAGGGTGTCACCAAAGGTTTAGTTGCAGAAAAAATCTTCACATCGTTGGCAGGGAAAGGGAAAATGGCAGATTTTGTGCTTTGCATTGGTGATGATCGATCTGATGAGGATATGTTTGAGATCATCGGTGATGCTTTATCCAGAAATATTCTTTCTTATGATACCAAAGTATTTGCCTGCACAGTGGGACAAAAACCAAGCAAAGCTAAATATTATTTGGACGACACTTCAGAGGTTAGACTTATGCTAGAGTCTCTCGCTGAAGCAACTCTTACTCCAGCGACTTCTGATGAAGAAGCTGACAACTCGGATTGAGTGTAAACTGCTAGTAGCCTTGGTTTTGTTTGGTTTCCTTCTTACTGCATATATACATATTCCAGGTTGGGCCAGTGACTTTTGTCTCTTCATAGTTAGCTTTAGGTTTAAGAAAATGGAATTACAAATTCCGCTCATCATTCTTTCCTTTTGACATTGATCCATTCTTTTACCCCTTGCCTGGAATTATCTTGTGTATGAGAAGTGGAGTACTGAAGTTAGAAACTGCCAAAATCCTAGAGTCCGATGAACATTTAGGGACCCATTAGAAGGAAGGAAACGAGGCGCAGGTGAGAGGCATGGTATCAACTATTTTACAAAATAGGCAGCGAATTTTGCTGAACTGAAACTTTTGACCACTCCTGAATTATGCTGGAACGAATGAACGAATAAAGAGCTGACATTTATTGCGGCGGATAAGCTTATTTTGAAGGTTGTCTTGTGACTGCTTAGCATCAAAGAAGTATCTTTGGGTTTATGTAAGATTTCAGGTTAGACAAGAATTGTGTCGATGGACATGGAATCTGTTGTGGTAAATAAGCATCAACATTTGGATTGAGGCGATGGCATTTTGGCGATCTTATTGTACAGACTGTTAGGTGATGAAAGGGATGTATTATCTCGATTTCTTTTTTGGTTCATTTGGAAAATATTGTGTGGATACAGGTAATGCAATAATATTTTCTATAAATTGGTAAACCTTCTGGTGTTTTACTAATGATAAAACTCACCTTTGGGTGTCAACCATTCATTTTGTTGCTATGACTTTGTGAGTACTGACTATATCTCCATGCCATCTTTCTGTTTGTTTGTTCTTTTTCCCTTTCACTTTTTGGACCATATTATAAAATACCATGCTGTGATTTGAAATTTTGTACTCCAACAACGGCTCCCGTGTAATCCCACGAGTAGGGTTTGTGGAGGGTAATGTGTACACTGTCCTTATTCCTATCTCGTGAAGGTTTAGAGTCTGTTTCCGATAGACTTGAATGTACTAAACTATGCAAGTCAAATGAATGTCACTAACCATTTGTGATAATATGAATGTTGCGAACATCAATTCTCAAAAAGGTAAAAATCTTGCTAGTATTGTCACTTCATAGCAGAGTTATGGAGAATTTGAGCTGAGACAAGTGAATACTGGTTTTAGAATAATGTCCAAAGCACATGGCATGATACAACTCCCTATTCCTGGAAAATTTAGTACCACCAAGGATCGACCAGTTTAATTTCCGAATGAAAATGACATATATTGCATAGTATTGTTGGATGGTNCACACCCGCGCGACAGTCAAGTCGTACACTTGACTCAGCCTTCCCCAAACACTTAGCCAATTTTAAGCAAGTTTGGCTTAAACGAAATTTTGGCAGCAATTCAATAAGAACACACGCATATAAGGGAAAATCCCAACTTTTGCATTAATGTGGAAAATATACAAAGGACCCCTCACTTTGCTATGAACACAGTTCGCTCACAACCCACTTTTGACGAAGAACACAAGTCGTTCTTGTCAACACTAAGATCTGCCCAAGCCAAACCTTAGCCCCTTTTTTGAAACAACTGAAACCCTCATGTTTCACTCTTGTTTCCCACTTAGAATTTCACATGAAATTCCCCACACTCTATGCCTAAGTCACAAAGGCCCTATTTATAGAATATAGGCAGCCCTTAGACTTGACAGCACATGACACTTGTCGTCTACAGCTTTTGCCACTTGTCGGGCTAAGACAAATCTGTTCCTAACATGTAGTTGACATCCCCAACTACTTAGGACACACTATACACGAAATGGGGTCATGATACAAGCATAATCAGATCATGGGACAAAAAAGGTTATGACAAGGTAACCGCCAACTACTTTTCATGTGCATTGCATGTGCCATCTTCACTTAGCCAGCTGACTCGCGCCCAAGGCTAGCATTGCGCCCAGCCTTGGCTCATCTTGACATTGCTCCGCGCCAATGCCTTGCCCGCAATCCGCTGCCTATGATTTTGCCGCACATGCCCAACGCCGCTGCCGCCCGCACACTGTCTTGGCCCAATTTCTGCCTTGCCCATGTCAACCTTCATTTCCCTCGTGCCATTGCTTGTATTTTCCTTCACATAGCTTTGCCTTAGCTATTGAAAGCCTTTTCCATCATCCCGCATTTCCGTCTTG